ATACCGGGCTTCCGAAATAAAATTGGCCTCTAGGAGGTCTTTTACAGCTTTTTCGGCTGCTGCCGATTTTTCGGGGGACTGGCGACGCTGACGTTGCACAACGGCCTTCGCGGTCGGGCTGATGGACAGCTGGTGGCAGGCGACCTCAGGGTCGAGTCCGGGCATTTCCGCGGCGCTCCAGGCGAAGAGGTCGGCGTTCTCGCGGAGGCAGGCTTGGAGCTGTCTTTTCGCGAGGTCTGGGAGTCCGGCGCCGATTTTCACGGTTCTGCTCGTGTCCTCCCCGAGTGTGATGATTTCGAATTCTCCGTCCGGGATGGGGCGTGTTGGGTGGGAGGTTTGCCCGTTGACCTCGCTGGTCTTTTTTTCGGGGTCGTGCTCCCCGGTGAAGCGACTGTCGAGGTCCACGGATCCGACCAGCTTCTTTGGTTTGCCCTTTGGTGCTGCGATTGGAGTTGTCCTCTTGGTCGTTGGAGCGATGGAGTCTAAACCTTTCAGCGCAGCCTCAAAACACCTTCGGGCGGCCTCGATGTCTCCGTTAAGGGTCACCACGGCCCCCCGTTTTGTGTAGTACTTCATCTTCAGGTGGACAGTGGAGGGTACCGCGGTGAGTTCTGCTATCGTTGTCCTGCCTAGGATACAGTTATAGAGGGACGGGCACTCGATGACTAGGAAGCGGATGCTGATTTCCCTGGCCGTTTCCTCTTCTCCGAAGGTGACTTTCAGCTCCACGTACCCCCAAGGTCTCGTCGTCGTCCCGTTGAACCCCTGAAGGTCGGAGCCTATGTAGGGGGAAAGGTTGGATTCGTCGAGTTGGAGGGTTGTGAACAGGTGCGTGTACATGATGTCAACCGAGCTTCCACCGTCGACGAGGAGGCGCCTGATGTCGAAGTTCGCCATCCGCGCACGTATGAGCAGGGGAATGTTGGAGTTGGGGGATCCCCCGGGGAGTTCCTCGAGGTAAAATGTGATCGGATTGGATCGACCTTGGAATTTTTCGAGCGTGCTCATTTTTCCGGAGTTGTTCGCGATAAGCTCGTCGAACTTTCTCTTCACTGATCCTATGGACAGGCTCCTCGTGGCTCCATCTGAGATGACCATGACTCTGGCGAAGTATTCCCAGCGGCTGGTTGGTCGGATTGGTTCGTCGATTAGGTCGGGTCCTTCGGGAAGACCGAATTCTCTGTCTACGAACCAATCCTCGGGGCGGCTGACACAAAGCGCGACCTGGAGCCTGCTGTTGTCCTCTAGAGAGGGGAGTTCCTCGACTTTCTTGGCCTCTGGGGCCTCTTGCCTCGGTGGTTCGCCTCCTCGGGTGTATCTTTTCAGGTGACCGTCTTTGATCAGAATTTCGATCGCGTCCTTGAGATGGATGCAGTCTTCGGTCACGTGCCCATGGCTCCTGTGGAATCGGCAGAATTTTGATTTGTCCACATTGGGTTTGGGGGGTGTCGGTCGCGGAAAACGGACACCTCCCTGGACGAATTTGGTTTTGGCGCATTCGGCCAGTATGCGCTCACGGGAAGCGACTAAGGCCGTGTACTCTGTGAATCGGCCGGCAGGGCCGCGTGGTTCGCGCTGTTCGTGGGGCTCGCAGGGGCGATCTTCGCGACGGCGGTCCCCTCCCCGTCGATGGCTCGAGGCTCCGTCGTCTCGGTGCCCGCGAGGGGCCTCCCTGTCTCGGGTGTCTCGAGCGGAGTTGTCCGCTTGTGTTTCTTCGAATCGGATATAATGCGCGGCTCTGTCGAGGAAATCCTAGAGGGAGGTTGGTCGGTGTATGCCTACGGCCTCGTAGAACTTGGAGTCGTGGCGTAGACCCTGCTCCATTAAGTAGCGCTTCATCTCGTCTGACGTTGTCACTTGTACTGCTTCCCGAGTGAATCTTTCGATGTACTTTCGGAGAGGTTCGTCGGGGCCCTGGATTATCGCCCCGAGGACGGCTTCCGTCTTCGGGTGGCGCCAGGATGCCGTAAAGTGTTTGGAGAACAGGTCCTTCAGGACTCTCCACGACGCAACTGATTCGGGCGCCAAACTTTTGTACCAGGTCATGGCGCCTTTCCTCAGAGTCGTCGGGAAGAGCTTGCACTTGATAGCTCCCCAGACGTTTTGGTAATCGAGCATGGCCTCGATGTCCTCTAGGTGATCGTCCGGGTCGGATGTGTCGTCGTACGTCGACAGCGTCGGGGGCTTCTCCATCCCTTGGGGTATGGGGGCAGCCATGATTTCTCGGGACAGCGGGGTGCGATAATCGTCCTCGTCGCTGGGGGCCGGGGACCGATGGGGAGACGAGCCGTTCAGAATAGGCCCCTGGTTTCGGGTTCTCTACCTCCTGCCTGGGTTTTCGCCCCGAGGATCCCTGGCCGGGATCGCCGCAGTGTTCTGGTGCCTCTCGCGAACTTGTCTTGCTGGGGACCTGGTGCGTTCTCGCACCACCTGTGCGCGGTGTCTCTCCAGCCGCGGTCGGTGATTTCTGGGTCGAGGTGAGGGACTTCTCGAGCCTCCGTTCTGGTCTTCCCGCGGGGGGGACCTCGGAGGGCCGACGCGTTCCAATGCTCCAATTCTCGCGTTTTGCTGGAACAGCAACTGGTTCGTCTGGTTGATGGCCGTAAAGAGGGCGGCCACCGTTGGGTCCGCTCCCACCGGGATGGGAACGGGTTGGAATGCTACCGGGCTCGGGGGCCAGTGGTCGTCCTAAAGGAGCCGCTCCACGGATGACGGTGAGGCAGTTTGGCCGTCTCTCTCGTCAGTTTCTGCCGGATGCGACGTTTCCATTTGCTTGTTTCCGTTGGTGGCGACGTTGAGCACAAAGTCGTGCGGAGTGTCGTCGCGGTGTGGGCTAGCCATGATCGTGGAGTGTTGGTGAAACTTTGGTTTTCTGCTCGGAGTAACGGGGAAGTTTTTGTTCCCACAGACGGCGCCACTGATCTGACCTGATCAGAAGGGGATCACGGGCTGGCCACACGTTGTTGGACTGCTACCTGTTCACCGGTGATGAGGAGGAGAAGGGGGGTGTACCTGCAAAAAGTTTTGATGTCAAAGTAAGGAGTTGGGCAGAGTGAGAGCAAAGTACAGAAAATGGGTAAGAAGTGAATTACCTGACCCTTTTGAAGAAGAGGGTATTTATAGAGAGACCCCAGCGCTGGGCCAACGGTCACTTGCGTTGGGCTGGATTGCCAGGCCCAACCTAAGTGACTGCTAGGGCTTACGTGGCGTAGTGAAGACCAGGACGTGGTCTTCGCCCTAGTCCAACTGCTCCTTGATCTTCGGAAAGTGGGTTTGACCTGCTCTTTCGGAGATGGACAGTTGGTTGATGACGTGTCCCCGCGGAGGGGAGCACGTGGAGAACGTGCACCGGGCACGTTGTTCTCCCCGCGGAGGGGAGCACGCGAGGAACGTGGAAGAACCAAGGGTCTTGCTCGATGGACCGGGGGTGCCCTGTTCAACCGACAAGGGGGGCGTTGAAGACGCTACAGGACGTGCCGTCCATCCCGGCGGGGAGCGTGCCCTGCTCGTCCTATGGGGGTGTGTGCCCGGTCAGGCTAGTCCACTTAATGGGCCTTGTGCGTTATTGGACCATACCTCTACAATTATACCCATACCTCTACACTAAAATTTTTGGACCAAAATACCCTTATATAAATAATTATAATTTTTTTCGTTTGTTCATCAGAAGATTTTTTGCAAGTCTTCCGGTTCACATTTTTTTCGTTTGTTCACCAGAAGACTTTTTGCAAGTCTTTGGCTCATTTTTTTTCGTCTGTTCACCGGAATACTTTTTTCAAGTCTTTCGGTTCATGTTTTTTTTTAATATTAAAAATTAAAATAAATTAATATGTATAATTAATTTGGTGCTTCAGTGGGTTACACATCTATTTTTTGGCGTGGGTTTTTTTCTTTAACTTTTTATTTAATTAAATTAAATAATTAAAAACACGAAGATTGTTATTTTAAACAACTAAGTTGTCATTTAGTTAAATAGTTGAAAACGTGGGGTGTGGTTTTTTTTATTTTATAATTTTTTTTATTTAATTAAGCAACCATACAGGTGGAGTTGAAGGTTTTCAATGTTATTATTTATGATTAATTAGTTATTAATATTTTTAAAGTTAATAATTATTGTTTAAATAATTATAAATATTATATATTATAATTTTTTGTTGAAATTTTTTGATAGAAGAAATGATAGGATTATAATTTAAATATGATATTTATTTTTATTTTTCATATAAACATATTATTAAATTATTAATTTTCTTTTTTTAAAGAACACAATTAATATATAAATTAGTTAATAACTTTTATTTTTATTGATTAAAAAAAATAATACTAAATTAATGGAGTAATTATTATTAAGTAAATAAATATAATAAATTAATAAAAAATTAAATTATTAAGATAATTATTATTAAATAAATAAATAAAATAAATATAACAAATTAAAGAATAAATAGAGTAAATAGAATAAATATATTAATTAACTAAAATAGTGTAAATAGAATAAATATATTATGTAATTTGAATATTAAAAAAAATTTATAAAAAAAATGTGAACCAGAAAATTTGCAAAAAGTCTTGGTGAACAAATGAAAAAAAATATGAACCGGAAGACTTGCAAAAAGTCTTCCGGTGAACAAACGAAAAAAATGTGAATTCCAAAACTTGCAAAAATCTTCCGGTGAAAAAAAGAAAAAATTATAATTATTTATATGAGAATATTTTGGTCCAAAAAATTTTAGTGTAGGAATATGGGTATAACTGTAGGGGTACGGGGTAAAATTTTCCTCAAATTATTGTGATAAAAGTTTATTCTAAAAATAAAAATTCAATTCAATGTAATCAAAAAAAACTACTTGTAAAATTCCGTTACTATCAATTAAATTTTGAACCATTTTCAAACTTGCATATAAAATAAAATACCAGTGGACATCACTTTACGAGAATACTTTTGAGTTCAGTTCAGAAACTAGACACGAAAGACACTCTCTTGAGAGAAACTATAATTGATGGAAGAAATTGAACACAAGTTCGTGAATGTGGGAGATCTCAAACTCCACGTAGCTCAAATTGGAACCGGTAAAACATAATCCAATCCAATCCAATTCAGTGATCTGTTTCAATTCTTTGTCGTCTTCTTAACCAAAGTCAAACACCTTTCTTTTCTCTCTTTCAGGTCCAAACGTCGTCGTATTCCTCCACGGCTTCCCTGAGATATGGTACTCCTGGCGCCACCAGATGATAGCCCTCGCCGCTGCCGGATTCAGAGCTATCGCTCCCGATTACAGAGGCTATGGCCTTTCCGATCCACCACCCGAACCTGAAAAGACCACCTTCTCTCATCTTCTCGACGACCTCCTAGCTATTCTCGACGCTCTTTCTCTTTCCAAGGTACACTCTTTTCTTTCTCTCGCATTTAGATGCATTGAATAATTGATCTATCCGGTTTATATAACAGCCGGGTACATGATTCACAAGTGAAATTGTTCTCTTGCAATTAATCCCTATCAGGCTATCATATAGTTATAATGCTGCTGAATTGATTAGTCCTCTTTGTCAATGTTATACAATAGGTGTTCATTGTTGGAAAAGATTTTGGAGCTCCTCCTGCATATTTGTTTTCCATTCTGCATCCGGAAAGGGTATTGGGAGTTATTACCTTGGGAGTTCCATATGCTCCACCACGACCGGCTACTTATCATAAAGTCCTCCCGGAAGGTTTCTACATTTTGAGATGGGCGGTAAATCTAATTTCCTTTTACCTCTCAGCCATCATCCGGAAAGAGCTATTGGTAAGAAATTAGGGGCTTTTAAAGGATCAACACATTTGAAAATAATTAATTGAATGTTGTTAACATTGGTAATGGTCTCTAGGCTAATAAATATCTTTTTGGCAAAATCAAAGATTAAAGAATAAATGTTTTTACATATTTCTTAACAAATCGGAAGGGGTGAAAATCAAAGATTTAAAAACCAAAAATATCCCCATTTTTCTTGAATCTTTACTTCAATGAGTTTCTCTTCTCATTTTTATTTTTTTTCCTTTATACACTATCTCCTATAATAATCTATAAGAACCAAATTAACATAAACAAAAACATGTGATATCTTCAAACATATTCAACATTAACAAATAGCTTTCATAGCTCAGTTGGTTAGAGCACCCGTTTAGTAAGCGGGAGGTCTTGAGTTCAACTCTCAATGAAAGCAATTATTTTTCAAGGTGGAATTATCCTAGGGTCATCCAGATGAAACCCTAATTGCATCAATCTCTGTCTAGGCTTCCAAATAACAAGTCCAATTTTATGGACTCAACATCATGATTCCCTCTTGTAAATTTATCTAGACGCCTTTTTTTAACAGTTAACAATATTATCACAGATGTATTAGAAATGATACCTTGGGGTGGATGTAAAGCTAAGCAAATAGCTTCTGCCCCAAGAACAGAGGACTGTGTTGGTTGTAAGAGGTGTGAGTCCGCTTGTCCGACGGATTTCTTAAGTGTTCGAGTTTATTTATGGCATGAAACAACTCGAAGTATGGGTCTCGCTTATTGATTCGTTTCAAAAAACACCACACGAATACGTTTTTTACTGGCAAAAACTCGTGTTCAAAATAAAAAAGAAAAAAATTCTATTTTATTTTGAGCATGGGCTTTTCTGGCCCAAGTGTATCTTATTTTTATCACGAATTTTTTTCCTTGGTTAACAATAGTTGTTGTTTTCCCAATAGCCGCAGGTTCCTTAATTTTCTTATTTCCTCATAGGAGAAATAAGGTAATTAGGTGGTATAGCATTTGTATATGCTTAATCGATCTCCTTCTAACAACCTATGCATTTTGTTATCATTTCCAATTGGATGATCCACTAATTCAACTGACGGAGAATTATAAATGGATCCATTTTTTTGATTTTTACTGGAGATTAGGAATAGATGGACTCTCTATAGGACCTATTTTACTGACAGGATTGATAACTACTTTAGCCACTTTAGCAGCTCAGCCGGTTACTCGAAAATACCAATTATTTTATTTCCTGATGTTAGCAATGTATAGCGGTCAAATAGGACCATTTTCTTCTCGAGACATTTTACTTTTTTTCATCATGTGGGAATTGGAATTAATTCCCGTTTATCTACTTTTATCCATGTGGGGGGGAAAGAAACGTTTGTATTCAGCTACAAAGTTTATTTTGTACACTGCAGGAGCTTCTGTTTTTTTATTAATGGGAATTCTGGGTATTGGTTTATATGGCTCTAATGAACCAACATTTAATTTTGAAACATTAATTAATCAATCATATCCCGTGGCACTAGAAATAATATTCTATACGACATTTCTTATTGCTTTTGCTGTCAAATCGCCGATTATACCCTTACATACATGGTTACCAGATACCCACGGAGAGGCGCATTACAACACTTGTATGCTTTTAGCCGGAATCTTATTAAAAATGGGAGCATATGGGTTGGTTCGAATTAATATGGAATTTTTTCCCACGCTCATTCCATATTTTGCCCCTGGTTAATGATATTAGGTTGTATTCAAATAATCTATGCCGCTGCAACATCTTTTGGTCAACGGAATCTAAAAAAAAGAATCGCTTATTCTTCCGTATCTCATATGGGTTTTATAATTATAGGAATTGGTTCTATAAGTGATACTGGTCTCAACGGGGCCATTTTACAAATAATATCTCATGGATTTATTGGCGCTGCCCTTTTTTTCTTGGCAGGAACTAGTTATGATAGACTGCGTCTTCTTTATCTTGACGAAATGGGCGGAATGGCTATCCCAATGCCAAAAATATTCACTATTTTCACTATCTTATCAATGGCTTCTCTTGCATTGCCTGGCATGAGCGGTTTTGTTGCAGAATTGATAGTTTTTTTTTGGAATAATTACTAGTCAAAAATATCTTTTCATGATGAAAATACTAATTACTTTTGTAACAGCAATTGGAATGATATTAACTCCTATTTATTTATTATCTATCTTACGGCAAATGTTCTATGGATACAAGTTTTTTAATACATCAAACTCTTCTTTTTTTGATTCTGGGCCCAGAGAATTATTTATTTCTATTTCTATCCTTATACCCATAATAGGTATTGGTATTTATCCAGATTTCATTTTCTCATTTTCGGTTGACAAGGTTGAAGCTATTCTATCTCATTTTTGATGGATGATTTTTGTGAATAAATGAATCAAAAAGATACAAAAAAATATTTTCCCGTTAGATTCATTTAAAAAATTGAAATTAGAATCGAATATGTTTGTTGTTTGTGAGAACCCCTTGAATCATTACATTACTTGATTGAAAGGGTTCTCGACGATTTATGGAAAGTATATATTTATATGCTTTCCATATTTTTCTTTATCAGGTTCTTTGAGTCAATTAGATGTAAATGAACCATAACTATGTAGTCCTATTCCTAATAGATTGATCCCCAAATAACATATCCAAATTATAAGAAATCCTATCGAGACCACTATTGAAGAATTTACACCCTCTAATTTTTTATTTTTTCTAGTATGTAAATAAATCGCGAATATGGTCCAAGTAATAAAGGCCCAAGTTTCCTTTGGATCCCAATTCCAATAGGAACCCCATGCCTCGTTAGCCCATTCTGCTCCTGAAAGAATACCTACCGTTAAAAAGAGAAAACCCATACTAATAATACGATAACCCCAACGATCCAATTGTTGAATAAATTGAGACCTATAATAATTTCTAGAAGAAGAAAAATAAGTTTTTCGTAAAACATTGTTTCTTTCATTCCTATTCATGTATTTGATTTCAACAAAATCAACTGATTTTTTTAAAGAATCCAAATTCTTGGTAAAAGAAAGAATTTGGATGACTTCTTGAAACGTAATGACTAAAATAGCCACTGATAATAATGATCCACATAAAAGAGCTGCATAGCCCAGTATCATCATACTTACGTGCATCATTAGCCAATGGGATTGTAGAGCGGGTACTAATATTACGGATTGATGCAGTTTGGTTAAAAGACCCGAAGTCGCAAAGGCTGGGGTAAAAATAACACTTGGTGCAATTATTGTACTTAAAAGGTTTTTCTCCTTTTTTAAAAAAAGAACCATATGAAAAATTGAAAAACCCCATGAAAGAAAGATTAGGGATTCATATAAATCACTAAATGGTAAATGTCCCGAAAAAAACCAACGAGTAATTAACAATCCCGTTACACAGAAAAAAGTTATTATCATGGCTTTTTTGGACAAATCATATAATCCTACAATTTCATTGACTAATAAGGTTATCAAATGAATTGAAATAACAATTGATATAAGGGAAAACGATATATGAGTTAATATATGCTCTAAAGTTGATAATATCATATATATCATGAAAATAAAAATATCTATAATGAAAATAAAAAAGGTATGAATACTCGGAATAGAAATAGGGAATTCATTATAGGACTTATGATATGATTATTTGAAAAATTTTCAAATAAAATATAGGATGCCATGCCGCTACTCGGACTCGAACTGAGATGCTCTAGCACTGCTTCCTAAGAGGAGCGTGTCTACCAATTTCACCATAGCGGCTTACTCGAAATCATAATAACTCATTATTTAGTCAATCGTCGAGATTGAATAAAGTAAAGTTCGATATTTATTGAGTACATTTCTAAACATTTATTATATAAATTGAGAATAAAAAGTAATTTTATTGAACAGATCTGAATAGAGAAATATATGATATATGGAATCATTTTTTTATTTAAGTAAAAGAACGTTTTGATTTCTCTATTCAGATCTGTTTTTTTTTCAATTTTGACTTTTTGAAATAAAAAAAAAAGCACTAAATTAGAACTATCTAGTTCTGACTTCAATCCAGTAATGAAAAAGATAATTATTTTTTTGTAGTTGCTTATGACTCATTCAAAAAAATTAGATTCTATATATATTTAGAATAATCTAATTTTTACGATTAATTGTGTAAAGCGTGTAGTAGCAACGGAACCCAGAGAGAATATATGGAAAAGACAGTTGTATTGTATACTATTCTAATATAGATCTAGAATACCTTGTTTTGACTGTATCGCACTATGGATCATTTCATAATCCAATGAATCTTTGACCAAATCAAATTTAGAAAATGAAGGAATATAAAGTATATTTAGAACGAGCTAGATCTCGCCAACAGGACTTCCTATACCCACTTCTTTTTAGGGAGTATATTTATGGACTTGCTTATAGTCATAATTTGAATAGATCCATTTTTTTGGAAAATGTAGGTTATGACAATAAATATAGTTTACTAATTGTAAAACGGTTAATTACTCGAATGTATCAACAGAATCATTTAATCATTTTGGCTAATGATTCTAACAAAAATCGATTTTGGGGATATAATAAGAATTTGGATTCTCAAATAATATCAGAGGGGTTTGCCATCGTCGTGGAAATTCCATTTTTGCGACAATTAAGCTCCTCCTTAGAGGAGGCAGAAATCCTCCAATCTTATAAAAATTTGAGATCAATTCATTCCATTTTTCCCTTTTTGGAAGATAAATTTACATATTTAAATTATGTGTCAGATATACGAATACCCTATCCTATCCATCTGGAAATCTTAGTTCAAATCCTTCGATATTGGGTGAAAGATGCCCCTTTTTTTCATTTATTAAGGCTATTTCTTTATAATTTTTGTAATTGGAATAGTTTTATTACTACCAGAAAATGGATTTCTACTTTTTCAAAAAGTAA